CACCTAGGGATTGAGCCTGCCCTCTGCCACCCGGGAGCAGGCCTAAGCCAGCAGGTCGTTATCTCCCAAGAGGTCCCAGACTGCGAGAGGGCACAGGCCGGGCTGAGGGACCCCCTCTCCCCCCCGAGTGCACAAATTTTTGTGCACCGGGCCTCTAGTAATATATATTACATAATATATAAATATATATCCTCTCTTTCTTAAAACCTGACATGCCATTAAATACAGAAAATTAAGATGATTTAAATGTTTTTCAAATTACCTTTTTTATGAATGTCCTTTATATATGGAGCCATGGCAGTCTGTACAAAATCAGGAACATAGCCCAAATCCTAAAATATAAAAATAAATATGTTATCCGCTATGAAATGCATTTGTGCAACTCAAAGGCAACAGACTAATCAATCCTTTAATTACTTTCAAGGCTACTTTTAAGTTAAATTTTAAGTAATTGTAATATTTATGTTGTCTGAAAATCACTAATCCCTTATGAATTTGAGCTTATAATAAATCAATGGAAATATCTACATGATATAAAAATAAACTTAACCTGCATTACTACCAAAGAGATGAAATAAGAATAACCAAACAAATTAATCACTTTTCTTTTGTGATCTATAGAAGTTTTAACTCCAAAGTTTTATTAAAAACTAAAATTCCCAACACTATACATGTCCTCAGCATACCCCTACATTGTCAAGAGAAGGTAATGCTTTTACATTTATTTGGTAGATTATAGAAACTGATGTAGGAAACCAATAGAGTGGAGTGGAGTAAGAGTAGTTTAAAGCACAAACTAGATAATTAGTTACATTACTAGGGATTCACTTTTAAATTAACTCTTAACAAGCTATATGATTCAAATGGTCCTCTGGTCTAAATGGAATTTCTACTGGGATATTCCATGCCTGGGGCCAATTTCTTGGCCTTATGTATTAAAAACAAAAATAATTAATTTACTGGATCTAACAAAAATATTTCAGAGTTAGGACTAAGACATTGATCACATATTATATATGACAGCATAAGCAATTTTTCATGTTAATAAAGCCTTTCTCATAAGTATAATTTTAGTGGCTACATAAGATTTCATTGTCTGGATCTCTCATCATTTACTTAACCATGTCCTTACTGTTGGCCATTTAGGTCTTTCATTTTCTGTGCATGTTATAAATAAGGCTACATTATCCATCTTTGTGAGCAAAGCTCTTCCACAGTTAGCTGTAGTTCCTTAAGATAATTCTGACTTCAGTGACAGTAAATAACCAAACAACTTATATTTTTTCTAATAATGAGACCTAACATTTTAAGGTTTTATAAGTTATCTATGAAAACATTTTCTTATGTAATTATCCTTTAAGGTATCATTTCATGGTAATTAAAATGATTACAATAGGGGGGTGGGAAGAGATCAAACAAAGAACTTGTATGCATATATGCACAACCCATGGACACAGACAATAGTGTGGTGAAGGCCTGGGGCAGTGGTGGGCTAGAAGGAGCTGGGGGTGGGGGAGAAGGGAACTTATGTAATACTTTCAACAATAAAGATTAAAAGATAACAATAATAAGTAAATGATTACAATAATTAACTTACAGATGATTTTACTTTGGCAGCAGTTAGGAGGCACATAGTTATCTCCGAGAGATAATCAAAAACCAAATAATCCAGCTTCTCTCCATATAGTAGCTGAGGAACTAGAAGTAAAGCACAAAGTGTAGTTTACTTTCTAAAATTTAAATTTAACAATAATTTAATCAACATTTGTAAAAAGTATGAATGAAATCACATTTTCTTTACGTTATCCAAAATCAGAAGTTGCACATATATGCATATGCGTTTTGTGGGCATGTCCCTGGGAACCCTTCCTAGCTTAATGAGATTTTGGTCACTGTACTTTACATCCAAGCACTGCCATATTGGGGTGATAATCCACACACTTCATCATGCTGATTAAAGAAAAGTAAATTATTATAGGGTAACAGAAAAATATCTGTAGCTATGGTAGTAGATTTCCCCATTTCCAGTGCTCTCCAGAATTTATTTCCATCTAATGGCAAAGATCTCTTTGTTAAAAGAAATGACAAATTTTCCAATGTATCAGGTGTAAATCTTCTTTGCTATTCCAAGCTCATAATCAATTCAGGCAAAAATCAATTATGCCCCTCACAGCTTTTGGTATGACAGAAATAAGCAAGGTCAAAGGGAATATCTAACAATTATGCCCCTCACAGCTTTTGGTATGACAGAAATAGGCAATTGACCTTGCGGTCAAAGGGAATATCTATTATCTGCTCTTACCAAGCTTCTAGTTTCCTCCTTCCATTATTCTAAAATAACCGGTTGTGTTATTAAAAATCTCAAAGGCAATTCTCAAAGTAAAACACAAGAGACATAAAAGTCTAAAGAAAAATGCTATCATAAGATATGCTGTCCTCCTAAATAGTGTGTGTTTAAGGGTAGGAGCTTTGTCTTAATCTGGTGTCCCTGTCCAGCTTTGTACCTGATGGTACTTAGCAAAAGTTGGTTGTTTACATAAGAGTACATTTCAAATCAGCTCTTCTTGAAGGTTTCTTCATATCTCTCATCATATCTCTTATTTTTCATAAACTATCATGACATACCCAAGGATTACTTAAGCCTCAAATCTTGTTAAGTGCCATAGAATTCTTTATTCTGGCATGGCGAAATTCCTAAAACCTACTGTAAAGATTCTATGCAAAGGTTTCTCACAAGTAGAAACATTTCCCACTAGGTTAGGGACTTGACAAAGCCAAGTCTTACATGACTCCATAAAATAAATACAGAGTTGGAAGTATTTATTAATTATTGAGATAGTCATTTACATATTTTTCCCAGTATAATGCAACTACGATCTATATATATAAAAGCCTTAGCGACCGTCCAACCAGTAGCTATGACGCTCAACGCAGGAGCAGAAACCACAGATGTGGAAACATGGAACAGACTGATGAATCTCAGAGGGAAGGGGGGAAGGGAAAGGGTAGGAAGAAATTAACCAAAGATCTCATATGCATAATAGAGGCCTGGTGCATGGATTCGTGCACTGGTGGGGTCCCTCAGCCTGGCCTGCACCCTCTCCAAATTCGGGGCCCCTCGGGGGATGTTGGAGAGCCAGTTTTGGCCTGATCCCCACAGGCCAGGCCGAGGGACCCCACCGGTGCACGATATCATGCACCAGGCCTCTAGTACAATAGAAGACAGATAGATGGCTCTTACCAACATAAAAGAGTAAACTTAGACATGATGTACATACAAAAAAACATTAAAATAGGGTTATTGAAAGATAAGTGGCTCTATAATTAATGCTATGTTACTAGTATTTCTCCACCACACTTGAGCTCAGGAAGGTCACAAGCAATTATGTTGGGATAAGTAGTACCATCTGAAATGTCCGTCAATCTCCAGCTAAGCCATTCTACAGACAGCACACGGAACAGAATCTTTCATCGGTGACTTCAGAGAAGGAAGAAATATCTCACTTTGGGACTTTATGCCAAGATGTTTAGCAACAGTGCAAAATTCAAACAGGCACAAGTGGTAAAATCCAAGTGCATCAAGAAGGCAGCTGGATACCCTAACGTGGATTTTAGAGCAGAAAAAGTCCATGTTGGAGGCATAAGTGTAGAGTCTTCCTAGGTACTGATGTTAAATATTATAGAGAAGAGCACCTATGCCTGGGACACTCCAAACTTTAGCTTTTAAGAAGAAGAGGAACTAGTCAAGGAGACTGAGAAGGAGGGGCAGGAAAGAAGGAGGAAAACTTCACGAGACTTCAAAAAGAAAGCATTTTAAGGAGACAGTGATCAATTTAGTTAATACTACTACTGATAGGTCAAGGAAAAGGAGGGCCAAGATTGACCCCTCACTTTAGGAGTCATTGGCTAAATGGGTGGAGGTGATTCATCCCAGCTTCTCTGAAATAAGAAAGACAAGGGTCTGGCCTGGCCGGTATTGCTCAGTAGTTAGAGCACTGACCCGTGCACAGAAGGGTCACGGGCTCGATTCCCGATCAAGGGCAGGTACCTGGTTGCAGGCTCAATCCCCAGCCCCAACCAGGGGGGTGCGGAAGGCCGGCACCAACTGGGGATGTTCGGCCCCAACCAGTTGGTATGTCTCACTCACATCAATGTTTCTTTCTTCTCCCTTCCTTCCACTCTCTAAAAATCAATGGAAAAATATCCTTGGGTGAGGATTAACACAACAAAAAAAAGAAGAAGAAAAAAAGAAAAACAAAGTTCCAAGAGATTAAATAAACTGAACACCAAGATCACATATCATTAGCCAGTTAGCAGCAGAACTGGGCCCAGAACCCACACTGAACACAAGCCTTTAAAAGTTAGTCATGGTTCTTGAATCCCAGAGCAGGCTCTTCTTCAATCACATATTATGATGTCAACTTGCCCTTGGTAACTGTGATGCAGAAGGAGGCCTCTATTAAGACTTTAAACAAAAAGGAATAAACATCAATATTAGAATTTGGGGGCACAATGACAGTGAAACAGAGACAATGCCCTTCAAATCAAATGAAAGAGGCAGACACTGCAACCACAGCAAGCCCAGGTGTCAAAACACACTGCAATACAAAGAAATGTTTACATCTCCTCAAAGGGAATTCTCTGGGCAGTATTTCACTAGATGACTTCCATATAAAAAAGTGATCAATAAATTCTCCCAGGCCCCATTCCCATATGTTACTAGCACTATGTATAATCAGGGCTTGAATAATGGGGATCTGATTCCCCACCCTCTTTCCTTCACCTGATTTTTTTTTTTTAATCTTCACCTGAGGATATTTTTCCATTGATTGTTAGGGAGAGTGGAAGAGAGAGGGAAAGACAGAGGAACATCGATGTGAGAGAAACACATTGATTGGTTGACTCCTGCATGAGCCCTGACCAAGGCCGAGACCTGGGGGATTCTGCAACCAAGGTACTTGTGCCCTTGACAGGAATCGAACCCAAACCCAGGACTCTTCGGTCAGCACGTAGATGCTCTATCCAGCTAGGGCCACCTGATTTCTTTATCAAGGTGCCCAAACGGAGGGAGGAGAATACATTTTTACTTTAGGTCTTAGTTTTAAATTAAATTTTCATTTTAAGATTTAAACATTCTAACACATTTCTAGGGGACCAAAGGCACAAGAGAGTCTTAAACCATTTAGGTATAATGCCCGTTTTAACAGTCCCAACTGATCCCCTCAAATCACAACCACCAACAACCAAGGAGTCACTCTGCTGCCAAAGTCCGCTGAACGATTTTGCAGACCAGGAAAGTGAAGCGTTCCCAAGGGAAGACGGGGGCCAGGTGGAGGAAAAGACGGATTTGGCTCCGAGCTGACTTGTTACTCGGGTTGGAGCGGAGGGAGTGGCTGACGGTCCCAGGGCCCGGAAAGAGAGGAAGGCGGGCGCTTTTCCAGGGAGAGGCGGAGCCAGCGCTGGCACAGGGCCCACTGGGCTTCGGTGGAGGAGAAAGGTCGCCGCCAGGCTGGGACGCGTGGCGCAGAAAAGCCCCGTCGTGGGGCTCGAAACCTTCCAGAGTTCCCAGAGCCCTGGCTCCGGGAGCTAGTCCCCCACGCGTGGCGTCCCTCCAGGGCTGCCCTAAGCCCTCGCGCCTCCCTTCCAACCTTTCCTCCCGGGGAAGCGGGCAGAGAGGGGCTCAGTGGAGTGAGCGGCGGCGCAGATCGCAGCCGCGTTACCTGATGCCGCCGTGTCTCCCCAGAAGGCGGAGGCGCAGCCGACACGCACGGCGCAG